TAAACACTTATTTGCCTAATATTTTATTTAGATTATTGAGAGATGATATTCATTTCCTGAAGGATTTTCCCAACTAAAAGCAAGAAAACCATAATTAATATGCTCTGATTTAATGATGGTATATTATCTAGTAATCTAACTAATACTAGCTTCATGACAAAACACATCTAGAATAAAATGTTAGATGCTTATTTCTTACATAATTTATATGATGTGTTTAGATGTAACTTATTTAATCCACTGCTAATCAAAAGATACTGGTGATAAATTCCAACTCATTTTTGGAAAACAACTATTAAGCTCTATGCCAGCAATAGTAGGAGGAGGAGATGGAGAGTGGTTTTGTTTTCTCATTTTTGTTTTTGTTTGAACACTATATTTCTCTTCAGATCTTATAATTATTTAACTTCATATTATTGTCACAAATGATAATCAAACAGCTTACCTAAACACCTCTAAAACCATTAGAAACCAAGACAATGGAGTTTATGATAGTAATGTACTATAAAAACTATGCTTATACACATGTGTATTGGGTCCTACTAGAAATATACTGAAAAAGCAGGCTTTATTAAGGAAGATCCTTGGACTAAGAGGTAGGAAGAGTCATATAATCAAGTATTAAGAAGATTATGTAGTCACACTTTCTTTAGATATGTAGATATCCCCAAATTTCCTTGGTTGGAACCAGGAAATTGATAGAGTGGATAATAAAGACTTTCTGATCTCTGTTGTTAGGTAAAAGCATTGTTGAGAAAGGTGCGTCAACAGCACAAATCATGCAGCAAGAATGAAACATTACAATGTAGAAGACATAATACAAATACAAAGTAGTACTCTAATATTCTCTATTATTGCATTTCTTTTGAATATAAAAGATACTCTCAAAGTGTAATGAGAATTCAATGAGTAGAGAAATACTCAGTAGAGCAATGGGAAAGAGTCTAGATGACTGTTTTAAGAAAAGAAAGAAGAAATACATCTTAGTAGTAAACTGACCTGTGTTGGGCATCTTTGGGTCGCATAAGAAAATAGAGCAGGAAAAACAATTTAAGGAAGAACACTTTGTTTTAATTCATGGTTTCAGAGATTTTAGTTCATGGTTGCCTGGCTCCATTACTTTTAGGCCTGTAGTGAGGTAGGAATATCATGGTAGGAGGCCTGATGTGGAGGAAAGCTACTGGCCTCATCACAGCCAGCCAGTAAGAGAGTGGGAGCACCAGAGAGGAAGAGGCCAGGGATGAAACATAGTCCTCAGGGTTGGGCCTCCATGAACCACTCCTTTAATGAGGCCTCCCCTCCTGTTTCCATCACCTTCCAATCATGCTATCAAGCCATGCTCTCATGACTGGATGACTCCGCTTAATGGAGTGAAAGCCTTCATGATAATGTCACGTCTTTGGGCCTCAGCTCTGCACACAGCTGTATTAACACTCAAGCCCTCAATAATGAGTCTCAAGGGCATACTTCATATTCAAATTGTTACAGTGACTTAGGAGTAATTATGTTCTAGTAACAGATTTGAAGGTGAAGAACACAGAATTTAAACAACTGAAGGAAATTCCTACTTTTCTAGGTAGAATTACAATTGGAAAACAATTACAATATTGTTATACATAATAAACTAATCATTCACAGAAGCAGATTTGGAAAGGATATATAGTGCGATGTTGGTTTTTGCATTATGGGTAACCTATAGATTAAAAGCACAAAGGTTTATTTCTTGGTCACACTGTGTGTCTATATAAAGAGTCAGAGAGATATTCTTCTCCAGGAAGTCGCTCAGAGATAGGGACTTTCTTCAAGAACTGCTGCGATAGGAGAAAGAGAAAGACCATACACGTATCACAGAGGCATTTTGTCTACTGAATTAGGCTACAAAGGACATACAACACTGTTGTTCATATTTCCTTGGCCATGTGGCCACATGGCCCTAGTTGATTGGAAAGCACTGAGAACTACAATCCCTTGTAAGACTTTGGTAAGTGCTAACGATGTCTACTCTGGGTAGGCTGACTGCCAGATGAAGCTTCCTACAGTGTTGTGGAGTGTGCAGGTGAAAGGAAGAGAACTAGGAAATACTTTTGTCTTAATTCATGTGAAAAGTCTCACTCTGTGCTCAGATACTGCAGAAACCAAAGGAACTTTGTTCATTCAAAGCTATGGCTTTACTCTTAAGCAGAAGTAATTTTTAAATCCAAGTTTATAATATTGTCTGTTCATGATTTATGGTATATATAGAAATAAGAGGCTCATTGCATAAAGTCCTCTCATAATGTCCGTGAGAACTTCTAGAAATTTTGTAAGTAGTAGTACCTAATAAGTTCTTTGTTCTGACTCTATGTTACAAGAAAGAACATGAGGAATTTTAGGTGTTCCTAAATGTTCAAAATTACAACTTGTAATATGTTTAAAAGCACTTGGAGGCCTGGCCAAAAAGCTCAGCAGATTAAAGCACCTGCAAGCAGGTACAGGGGCTGGAGGTTCAATCCCTGGCCTGCTGTGCCTGCCCCACCTAGGGCAGGCTGAGATGGTAACTGACTGGGTGTGGTGGCGCATGCCTGTAATCCCAGCTCTTGGAAGGCCGTAAACAAAAGAATCACCAGGAGTCCAATCTAGTAGTGAGACCCTGAATACCCTATAGACTCTTCCCTCATGTACAGGAAAAAAAGAAGCACTTGGAAGCTCAACTTTTTTCTTAAATCATTTAAGGCTTTCTATGACTTCATGTATCAAAGGCAAGATAAGAAAGGCTGAGATAAACGTACTCTCCAAAATTGTACTATAAAACCTCTAATTGGGGCCAGGGAGATGGCTCAGTAGGATAAGCTCTTGACTGGCAAACGCAAGGATCTGAGTTCAATTCCCAGTTCCGCACAAAAAAAAAAAAAAAAAAACCTCTTATTATATTAAATAAGTTGCAGTCATTTTCTCACCACAAAGTAATTGTGAAGAACCAAGGAAAATATTCATCAAGCTCTGTGGCAGGTAAGTATTCTCAATCTTGGTACATTTAGATTCCTTATTTGTCTGCAAGTACCAGCCTAACTAAGGAATAATACTGAATTTGTTTAAATGTTTCACTTTGACACGAAATTGAACAGATTATGATAAGGTCTATTCATATCTGATATATCAATATAATATCGTTTTTTCTTCTTCAGTTTCTCAGTTGAAATAATAAGTTATATAGTTACTACTGTTTTCTAACCTCCAACACTGGAAGTTGTTAACATTGCTGTATGAACTTTTCCTGCTTTATCCATGATAATTGTCTCCTACCATCTACGATGTCCTTGAGTATCATAAGAGTTTTCTAGAAATGCAAGTTAGATTGGGGGTGAAATAATTTATACAGCCAACCTTTACATGTACGTAATATTTATAAACCTAAAGATAACAGTGAATTATAAATTATGTATTATATATTATTGATATTAATCATACATAATTATAAAAATTAATATGTATTTCATGAATAGAATATTAAACTGCAGCCATATTATGGATAACATTAATGTTATATGTAACATATAATATGTAAAAAAGTTATTGCAGAAATTTTTTAAAGTAAGATTAAGAAATTGTAATTTAGTTGTACTTTATTCAACTTGAAATATTGGGCATGAGTCCAATTTGAAAGAAAACTAACAATTGAACATCCCTAAAGGAAACTTGTATATTTATTTTTATTTCAATATGCAATTTATGACAAAATGCCTTATAAATATCTTGTCATATCTCTATGCACTCATTAAAAGCAACATCTTCCTTGATAATTTGCCAATCTAAGGCATACTTCATAAAGAAAAATTTTAATATTGAAATAAAGACAGCAAGTCAGGGCCAGGGAGATAGAGATAGCTCAGTAGAATAAGTGTTT